TCATAAGAGTGAAAAGAACAACAATATCTACCTATCTCTTTTGCACTCATGATTTTCTGCTTTCAGTCGACGTATTCTGTTCACATGGGATCGCACCCTAACTCAAGCTGAAAAAAATATATTAAAAAATGATTAAAGTTTTTTGTATACTTTTAGCAAGGGATTAAATTTGTTAATTACAATGTTTGAATAAAAAAGATGTAATGAAAATTTAATGTCTGAAATAATTTAAATAAAATCCGATTTTTATTAAAATCCACGGCCCTGTACGAATCAGATGTTAATTTTACTAAATTCTAAATGACGGATCCAATATGGCGTTTTCTAATCTTCTACTTTATCAAATTAGACATTTTTTAAAAATGTCATCTGCCATATTGGATCCGCCATTTTGAATTTTTAAAAACTGGCATCATATTCTTAATCAGCGACCCCAAAAATTTTTTAAATAATTTGTCTGAGGCACCCGGAGTGCAGACACTGCATATCTATACTTTAGACTAATTTTTTATTTATTTAGAAAAATAATTGTTTAATGAAGAAATTGCTTTTATTTAACATAAATTACGAAGATCTGGAGCGCTAAGACGAAATACCCCTGGATCTGACCGTCAGTTTATTTTTATAAATTTTTCGCTTTAGTGGGTACCCGAGTGCGAGACAATGTAAAATTTCTTGGGTATGGACACAAGGGTTAATATAAATTATTTCATCAAAATAATATATAGAATTACACACTAGTAATAATTATATTTTAAAACAATATATTGGAATGACACTAAATATTATTTAACTCACGAGTTTGCATTGAAATTTCATAATTTTTCAATCGTTTCACAATTAAATAATTATTCCTTGTCATATTATTATAATTATGTCCACACCTTGCACAATAGAGTAGGTTGACGTGCGCACTCATGATTTTTTTTAACAATCATTACAGCTCGACATTGTTTTCATCTCATAGTCATGAAACCACAATTAAACTACATCTAGATACAAAAAACCGTCTTTTATAAATGTAATTGTTAAAATGATTATTTCTTATACTATTTTTCTCTTAAAATAAAAGACGGTAGCTTTGTTATTCTAGAAGTCTCCAAGAATGTGAATGAATTTTTTGGAATGTTATTAGCTTTTTCTTTCCAGTTTAAACTAATAATTTTTATAGCTATTAGAATTTGAGTGGATCAAATTTTAATATTTGACGACACTATCTAAGATAGAAATTTATTGTAGAAACAAAATATACTAATTCAATAATTTAATTAGTGTATCTTTAGAAGTTAAAAATATGATGATTTGCAAAGGGTACACAATTTGCAAATATGCACAATATTTTATTCTATAGACTTTAAAGTTTTTAGGCGGGCGTCTTTTTCCACTACTGATTGCTAGCCATTGCTAGTCCTCTGGAATAAGTTAACTTCCATCAGGCGAATAAATGTTGATGATAAGTTTTCTGTAAAAAGAAATATTTTGTTAATGACGTTCTTCAACTATAACATCATATGTGTTGCATTCCACGTCAAGTGATCCGGGTCCAAATTTACATGGAATATTTGAAAAATTTGTAGTTTATTTCAACCAAAACGAAAAGATGTTTTCTATTTTGGGTTTTTTAGTTGTTTATATTCACTTTCTAATAGTGTAAACAAATTTAAAGAAAAAAATTTTTGTTAACCTGATCCCACACATTTCAAATTTGGACCCGGATCACTTGAGGTGGAATGCCACATGTATGAGACGCAAGAAAATTCACTTTTGTAAGGTACCCACCCAAATAAGATAGGTGCCCAATGAAATGGAGAAGCAGTTAGTCGCAGTGGCGGATTAACTACACTGAAAAAAATTCTGTGTCGCTACCTTATCTACGAATGTCGCTACCACACAGATCAGATGGTAAGTACTATCCCGATTTCGGAAGGGAGATTAGCTGTCAAGGGAACACTACCTCACCGCGAGAGAATACCGCGTGCTCAATACGAGGTTGCACCAATCTCGAGGTATCGGTATGACAGCCTCCAGTCTATATTCGGGAAGGCTACCTGCTCTCGAGATTCTCTAGGACAGGTTCTCTAAGACTTGCAATTGAGTCCAGAGTCAGATCTTGCCAACAATCGATCATGCCTTGTGGTCTGGGGTATCTAGAACTGTCCATGCGAGGGATCCTTAGGATCCAGTTGAGAGTGTATTTCAAGACCTTAAACACAAGTCGAAGTGGTCGAAGTGCTCCCATCTCAAGTCTAACTCTCTTTAAAAAAGTTCAAACTTCTTTTATGGGCAATATCGACTCAATAGAAAAAGTTCAAACTTCTTTTCCAAGATTGATCAATTGATTCAAGATTTATTAATTCGATTTATGTTATCTTATTCTTAATTTTACATGTATATTATACATATTCAGGGGAGCGTGGTCCTAAGTTGGCCACCTAATGTTTTTGTTTGTTTTTATTTATGTTTTAAGTCTTTTTTGTGTTTTTCATCACGAGAAAGACCGTAAAAGTGTAACGTAGGAATTAAACAAAGACAAAAAACAAAAAAAATGATTTAAAAAACATTAGAAAAGACATAGTACACAAACACCTGTCTACACAGCCATCCACCACTGCAAATAAATGAAATAAAACAATGCTTCATTTTCTAAACAAAAATAGGTAAATAATGCGTTTTTATTCTCCTAAAGGTATCAAATTTGTAAAATTTCTGCGCAATTAAAAAGAATATGCATTTCTTCCTTATACACAAGCGAAAAAAAGTGGTGGCCAACTTAGGACCGCTATTTCTGAAATGTCTAAAATGCAGCCTTTCACTATTTATTGTATTAAGATTACAAAAGCCGTTCTATAACGTTCTAAATACCACAAAATTATAGCAAAACCATCTCTGAACACTAATATATACTTGCCGAAGTGATTAAATTTCATTTTGTTACTATTTTCGACCAATTTGCTTAGGCGGCCAACTTAGGACCACTCTTTCCTATAATTTAAAGTGGGTGGGAAAGGGCGGCAATTTCATAACTGCCTACACTGAGAGAAGTGCGGGAATTGAGACGTCCCGCTAAAAGTTGCTCTGCGCTGCTGTGCTTCAAGTGCTAGAGGTGTCTCGGTCGGGGGTTCAGACGCCCCGTTTGAGGGTTAACTCACCCGAATCAAAATTTAGACCCTCTTTTTTTAAACCTTTTTTGAACATGAAAATGATGCGGAAAAATCCACATTCCGATGTTTAGAGGTTGAAAAAAGGATTTCAAATTTTTGTAAAATTTAAATTTTTTAAATTTCTACCTATGTTAATAGATTTATTAAAATCATTCAAAAACTATTATTTGCAGCTTCTATAGGGCAATTAAAATATAATACTGTGAAAAAAATTCCAATTTTAGTTTTCGAAATATTTAAAAAAAATCTTTTTTCGGATCTCTTTTAAGCCTCCTTACTTCTCTTTTCAACCTCTTTTGAACCTCTAATAGTGTGGAAAAATCAATTTCTGCAGTTTTTAGGTTCAAAAGAGGATTTAGAAGTTTAAAGAGGCTTAAAAGAGGTTAAAAAGAGGTTTTTGGAGAACTAAAAGAGGGTCTAAATTTTGACTCGGGCAGTTCCTTTTTGAAAGAAATAAACAGTTTGGCGAACAACGGTCCCGTTTTCGGGAACTGAGACGTCCCGCATGAAACGTCAGACTTCCCGAATCACTTGTTTGCTGTAGTACCATATAAAGTATTGCTAAGTTCCCGCTAGGGACGTCTCAAGCCCCGCACTTCTCTCAGTGTAGAGCGGCAAATTGCCTTAATCCGCCACTAGTTAGTCGCCGTCATCCTACCCAACAACCTCAGGCTTCGATCCCGTCTGTCTACCTGATAAGGATTTGCATGCTACCAGCGTGGACCACTTGGAGGTTCTGCTTCCAGATCGAAGTCTCAATTACGGTCACCTAACAGGGGCTCCCATTCGCACATGTGAACACACAAGTTAGGCTGCTCTCTAAAATTGAATCAGTGAAATTTGACTGAGAATCAGTGACTATTCTCGCGATTTGAATCAGTGAAATTTTACTGAAGATCAGTTAAAAATGATTGGAATTTCAGTCATTTTTCACTGATTGGACAATTAAAAAATAACTGAAATTTTCAGTACTTTTTTAACTGGCGAATCAGTAAAAAATGACTGAAATTTCAGTCACTGATTCAGATTTAGAGAGTGCCTGATTCATCGGAATACTATAACTCTACGTCTCAGGCTGACGCTGTACTTAGCAAGCTATAGCCACCCTCCATGTTCCTTTAATCGCCTTTTGCGACAGGCAGTAGACTATGGATGGCCAATTTTGAATCCCGGACCAACATGGGTGAATAAGTAAGTAATAACCATAACGACAGCGCAAGCTTTAAAGATGCACTTTCCTCAAGGCGCTCGCTGGGTTAAAAATCCTGTTCGTAGAGATTTAATATTTTAGTGATTTACGCATTAGGCGATATATTTGTACGTGCACCCTTCGCAAATTAATTAAAATTGCGAATCGAAATTAGCAATTTTAAAGTTAGTGAACTACCTGAAGAGTTAAAGGTATACTAATTTATTTTTAGGTTCCGATGTTCTTATATTTGCTTTTGTTACTGACAGTATCAATTCGTCTCACAATTGAATTAAATTTACATATGGTAGAAGTTAAATGTTCGATCTCAAAATGAAATTATTTTATATATTTTAGATAGTGTCGTAGAAAATAACAAACTAGAATAATTCTACTAAATGTACTAACAAAAAAATAAGAAGATAGCTATAAAATCGGAGACGCACGTCAACGTTCTCGAATCGATGGCGAACGTTCGAATTCTAACATTAAAAAGGGTAGATTGAGAAAGGGTTTATTTTGCAAAATTTTGATATAAAGAAAATAAAATGTAAATCAATGAAAAATGAAAGAGAAGACTCGAAACGTTCGGCCTTAACGATGGACGTTGACGAATATCTATTATGTGGATTGGTTGGTTGCATGACTAGCTGGCAATGGCAGTGGCAGTGGCTCCAGCCACAGCAGCAGCAACAACAGCCAGAACAGTCAAACAGGAGTTTCACCTTCGTCTGCCTCTACGGTCTACCTCAACGCCAACAACAACAACTCACGAAGACAAAGCTCCTCTGGCACTGGTCTGTATTTGAATTTTATTTGTTTTCTGTCGTTCCTTTGTTACTGACATTTTCAACTGCTTTTATAATTCTAAATATTGACAAGTACGAAATTGTTGGTATACAATTTCAGTACAGACACACTAGAAGAAGTAAACTAGTTTTTAAAATATTTTTACTTAACATTGGGTCGCCATATTGAGCTCACACTTCTTTATCTCTTGAAGGCGTTTCATTATGGCTTCTTAAAACAATAAATTATATGTCAGAAGTCAAGGACTATCTGTACACCTACACTGAGAGACCTTTGGGTCAGCAACAGACTTTCGATAGGCTGCTACTGACCATTTTGGAGGAACGCTACAGGACTATACTTTTGGGTTGCTGCGGTAAAATCTTGGGCGCGTGACAGTCCCAAAGTTGTTCAGCTGCAAACCAAAGGCGGCATTCCCACTACTTCGGTGAGCTGCTCACCAACATTTGGGACTGTCACGCGCCCAAAATTTTACCGCAGCGCACCAAAACCATAGTGGAGCTGCTGTCACATACGTTGTTCCGCTACAGTCCCAAAGGTCTCTCAGTGTAGCATGCCTTCACTTCATTTAGAATAAGAGAACCAAACATACATCTTTCACTGGCTAACAGGCTAACAGGAAATTATAGCAAATTCTAGAATATACTGCATTTAGTAGAGGTACATTAGGGTGGTTCTTACTTTGGAAATTTTGGAATTTCTTAGGTCGCCGGCCGGAATTTTAATTAAAATGTGAAAAAAATGAGCTATCCACAAGAACAGCCCATTTGACAAATATTAACCCGTGCCGACGAAGGGTGAAAGTTTAAATGAGGTTTCACATGGGTTTGGTGCACTTCTGCAAACTTTGTATTATAACTTTTTCATTTCTCAAAAATTTGACTAGGGTCTATGTATTCCCATAGTTTTTCGCACGCTGAACACGAATATCATGCCAAAAATAACTTTTGACAGCTTCTTCCGGTTGTCAAAAAAGCTGCCAAAATACTGTCACATTTAAAAAAAAGAGAATTTTGACAACTTTTACATTAACTTCTACGAATAAAAAGGTTTTTTGTGAAAATTTCAGTTTATATCTAGCAATTTAATACACTTTGACGGATGGAAGCTGTCAAATGAGTTGTCAACTAATATGAAATTAGAAAGGAATTAATTCAGAATTGAATTCAGTTATATATAAAATTAGACTTGTTTATTTTCATGTATTTATTACACAATTTACAAAAGCTTACAAAATTGGTAAATTAATTAAAAACATTGTGAAAAATTCTGTTGTATATAAGTTGACAGCTGTTTTGACAGTTGCCAACTGCTAAAATATATTAAATTTCTAAATATAAACTAAATTTTCTTAAAAAACATTTATAAAAAATAATTAAGAACATTTTAAAAAATCCTATTTTATAGAACTTGACTACTAAATTGACAGTTGTCAACTTCCAAAATATATTAAATACCTATATATGAACTAAATTTACCCACAGAAACGTTTTTTGTGATAATTCATTTAAAACTCTTTGAAAACTGGTGTTTATAAAAGTTGACAACTCATTTGACAGCTGTCAACTGTCCAAGTGTATTAAATTGATAGATATAAACTGAAATTTTAACAAGAAACCGTTTTATTCGTAGACTGGTAGCTGTCAAAAGTTATTTTTGACATCATATTCATGTTCAGCGTGCGAAAAACTATGGGAATACATAGACCTAAGTCAAATTTTTCAGAAATGGAAAAGTTGTACCCGTGTAGAAATTGCCATGTTATGGCCTACACAATGATCAAAAGATCTGGCTCCGATTTGGGCCATGGTTAAATTTCTACACGGGTAATACAAAGTTTGCAGAAGTGCACCAAACCCATGTTAAACCCCATTTAAACTTTAACCCTTCGTCGGCACGGGTTAATATTAATATGAGGGTAGCTCATTTTTTTCACATTTTAATTCAAATTCCGGCCGGCGACCTAAGAAATTCCAAATTTTCTAAAATAAGAACCACCCTAAGGTACATCTACCGTACTTTTCTGATCAGCAGACGTCTTTTTTCGACGCAACTTATACGCGTATCGCAAATTCGTGAGGAAATTGCAAGTAAACCTAATTCAAAATCGTGCTGTAGACACATTAGTTTAAGATCGATTAAAATAGTTATAAGTGTATAGGAAATTTTATAAGATTGTAATAGCAGAAGGTAAGTCTTATCATTTGTTAAACATTCACTTGAAAACCACAATTGAATACAAATATTTCAAGTTCAATTATAAGATAACCCTTATCTGAAAATAGCAATTCTTATTCTGTGGGTGTATTAAAAAATTTATTATTTACAAAACGTAGGAAATCTTTGCTTCTATTTGTCAAAATTTTAAGAATTGAATTATAATTAATATTAGACGTACTAAAAAATGTCAGTGACAATTTTGAAATATGTGCATGGTTATTTGTTCCTATGTTTGTGGTTTTTTGCTTGCACTTTGCATGTACCATCAGAACCTGAAGAACGACGACCAGGAGCACAACTGGAAAACGATGGCAAGGAAGGAGATGACGGTAAGAGTGATATTGGTGGTAATGGTGATGGAAAAAATATTGGCGATGGTGGTAAAGGTGGAAACTCTAATGCAAGCTCAAAAAATAAAGATGCATGCTTGAAGCTTAGACGATGTAGTTTATTATAAAATCATTTGTCTCTTTATTAATACCAACACAACAAAACGACATTATTCAAATGCAAGGTTCTCCGATCGATTATCGTACACGGAGAGACCCACATCTGTAAAAATTACTAAAAATGGTTGCAATGACCGGAAATAAGGGGACTTTTATCAAAATGTACTACAGAAATAGATAAATTTACAAAAGAAATAGATAAATTTGCTACATTGAAATAGCAAGTTTTAATATTTTGTGTAAGAGTTGTAAATGTAGCGAAAATTGATTATAGTTTTATCTAATTTCATTAGACAAAATCTGACAAAAGAAAACATTTTCCACTAAAACCTACTATCCACTGTAGTAATTTTTGGTGAGCAAGTGTGGCTTTTTCTTTTCTTTTTCTTTTCTTCTTAAATGACTTTTGGCGTAGCCGACTGTCAGAACTAAAATCTATGAAGAGAAAGAAAATTTTGGTAAGTGATTCCTCCTTAGTCATTGGTTGTATAATATAGATAGTCAGTGTTTGCGGAGATATTGTTCCCCTGATAAAAGTGTCTCGAAATTTCCGTGTCCTCTATGGCGCTCCTAATTGTCCATTTGGTGAGAGGTAGTAAATTTCGAATAAATGGAGAGGTTGGGTTAATGGAGAAGAGATTCAAGAAAAAAAATTGTCAGCAAAAACAAATAGGGTCGACTGATAAGTAAAGTTATTGAAGTTATTAAGTGGGCCCAAACGGCATCGTATCGTACGTCCTCCGTCATTAGCAATGAATTTAAGAGACAAGCCAAATACCCCGCATTATTATATTGGCTGTCTGGATTGGCTCAAGAACCCACCCAGTTCAATGACCACCTCATTGTCGGTAGGGAAGATCATGTCATCGATTGAGACCGTTCTGGGATCAACGTTCGGGAATTTTCTTTGTAAGTAATTGTAGAGTTTATTTTTTTTAGGTTGTAAAATGGGGCAGTCATGAATGATGTGATCCAAGGTTCTCCTCTCCTCACCACAGCCGCAGCTTAACGTCGCATTCCAATTAAGTCTTGAAAAAAGTTCGTACGTAAAGGTGTGACCGGTGCGCAATCTGGTTATGGCATTTATCCAGTCTCGCGGATATGTAATGTTTTTGAACCAAGGTCTGACCGTTTTGTACGTCACCCTGGCAAAATATCTGTGGTTGGCTAAATCTCTGTCAGTAAATGGCCAAGATTAGGCCAAATTTGTCATTTTGTCTTGGATAAGGATGTTATTCTTAAGATCAATAATTGGAGCTCCCATATATATACGATTAAGGAGTGTACAATTAACTTTTCTGCAAATTGAATCTACAAATTCATTACCCCTTATGTTAGAGTGTGAGGGAATCCAGATAAATTTAATGTTGGGATGGAAATTCACATAGACACAAGGATATAAAAGGTCTAGGATGAGGTATAAGACATAAGGAGCAAGTGTGGCTAGCGAGTGCAGTCATATGGCGCGTGCATTTCTATTCGTTGCTAACTTCGTCAATCTTCGTAAATGAGCCAATGCCATCCGATCATTGACAGTGACTATGTTTCGCGTATGTAAAATATATTTGGATATTATCTACAATAATTAAATATAAAGTGAAACGTAGGTCGTTCACGGAAAAAAAGAAATTAGCTGCAGCAGTAAACAGATGTTTGCTGTAAAATCTCTGAAAATTAGCTACCACAGCTAAGAAGTTTGCAGTGGCAGCGAACATGTTAGCTGTGACAGCAAACATTAGTAAAAATGTATGCGAGTTTGCTGTCATAGCGAACTTGTTTGATCTCACAGCGAACTTATTCGCTGTCCCTATTTCAACGAACAAGGTTTGCTGTGGCAGCAAAATGTTCGCGGCCACAGCAAACCCTTTCTATGCGTGTTCGTTATCTCAGAAATTGACCATTATACAATAAATTTTGCATTTATTCCTGTCCCAAGAACTATGTCTTATAATAAGTTGTTAAAAGTAAACTGCTTTCTCGTAAGTGCTGTAAATTTTCATCATTTAATATATATATTCAATCAAATATTTATCCAACAAATATATAAGTGTGTGTGTGTCTGTGTATGTAAAAATCCTTCCAGTTTATCTCCATTAGTCAAGAATTGACGGGAAACCGGCGATAAAAATCCGTATTTTTTCTTTCACTCTTTCTTTCTGCATTTACAAACGACTATAGTAATTTTACGTACACAATATTTCTGAGTTTACTACAATTGTTTGGAACTATTGGACGAAACCCAATGGGAAGTAAACGATTGGTTCAATAATGGGCCATGCTTGGCGAACTCCGTTCCATTATTGGAACATTAATGGAAACCATCATTGGACCACCAATGGTTTAAACTTGGGATGATCACGCTACTGCCAATGATCGGTAGCCAAGCATCGGGCCAATATTAGTTGCCAAGGAATTGCCAAGGAAACAAAATCGATTTTCAAAAGCTTGATTTTTTATTGGCAGCCAACAAAAAACCAAGGTTTTGAAAATTGATTTTTTTTAATTATTAATTAAAATTTATTTTTAAAAAATTCATTTTTAAAAAATATATTTTTATAAAATATATTTTTCAAAAATTTATTTTAAAAAAATATATTTTTCAAAAATATATATTTTTTTAAATTAATAGAACATATTAATTTAGTTTTTCACCTCTGGTAAAACAAAGGTGAAAGACTGATAAAAATTCCCTCACCGTATCTCACAGTGGAGGGATAACTGTGAATGTCTTTGCGAGAGAGGAGCAGGTACTTATATAGAGCCAGTGAAACAGGTCACAAGCGAGAAAAAATCACTAGCATGCACTCTGGCGGCGCTTGTCGGAACTGTTTTCTGGCGCGCATGCATATCCTGACGTTATCGACACAGCGCTTGGCAACCAACGTTGCGCCACTTCCGACAAGCGCCGCCAGAGTGCATGCTAGTGATTTCTTCTCGCTTGTGACCTGTTACACTGGCTCTATAAGTACTCTTCCCGTTGGGAATAGTAAGAAACTTTGCTAATTTGGTGAACATTTGTCGGATTAGTGACTTAGTGTAGAAAATAGTAAAAAATTACAAAAAGTCCCCTTATTTCCGGTGGTTGCAATGTGAAAATAGTAAATTCTAGTGTGATTTTATACAAAAATTAATAATCTCGGTCTCTCCGTGTATAATGTACAACTAAGACCTATTTATTAACCAGATCGATTAATTAACATTCCAAAGTTGTCAACTCATTTCTAAATTATTATATGTTGTCCTGTTTACGTTCTTTTGAATGTCGCAAGACTTCATCATCCTTGGGACCTCCAACTCCATTTTGTGGAGGCAAGTCTTAAATGACGCTTAAAGTGGAGCTCTCTTTCCAACTTCCGGTCTTTACGGTTACACTCCGCATCGCTGAAAACGCATGCCAAATCGAAGTCCGACTCATCGGCCGCAGCATGCTTCTTCTGTTTACGTTCTTTTGAATGTCGCAAGACTTCATGATCCTTGCAACCTGCAACTCCTTACTCTGAGTACGGTATTTATGATCTTTGCGACCACAACTCTTCTGACTGGACAAGGCATAAACCCAATGAACATTGTGCGCAAGCGCAAGAGTGGGGTCAATAAGCGTGAGAAAGACAACGCAGTTTCTCTCTCTCTCTCCCTCTTATTGTCCCCATTCTAACGCATGCGCTCTGTACAGTAAAGGCGTTAAAAATGTCAATTATAACAATAATCCCGAGGGGGACCTTGCAAGTAAACATAGCAACAAATTATTTCTATACATCATATATGTAAATAAAGTGAATAACAAAAATAAACAAAAAATTATTAGTTTAAAAAATAACACAAAGCAAATTGTTTATTTTACACACGCTTTGCACAATAATTTAATTGCTAGAGTAAAAAAATTGTTTACTAAATAAGAATAAACTTTCTTCTCAGCTGTCGTTAAATTTATCGCAGCTTAAGATAAAAATTTATTTTTCTTTAATAATTAAATTTAAAAAAAAAATAAAATATCTTCTACAGCAGATAATGCTATTTAAAACTATAAATTGGTTTTTCCACCAGAAATTAGTATTCGAAATAAGAAAAAATTATAATTAAAAAAATTGAAATTATTCTAATCAAATATGTATAAAAAATGTGACTTTAGTACAAAAATTCCCCTTTATATCAACGACAGAATTATCGTAATTATTTTCAGCTAATTAATTATTTTAAACATAATATGTAAATACAAAATTTTTGTAAAATGAAAAACAGGTGAAATAATGTGGGTAAATTTTTTTTTAAATAAATATAATTTGTAAAAAACTTGTAGGCTTTGTAGTCAATTTTTAAGCTAAATGCAAATGGTAGACATTGAAAAGCTGATAAAATAAAGGAATTGTAAATTTACATTTTTGTACATATGTAAATTGACTGTTAATATTGTTTAAGCACTTGTTTACAAATGTACATATTATTGAATTAATATAAAATTTAACAGTAGCAATTAGTTTTAGTATATTTTAATTTGTACTTTATTTTCTCTTTATAATTATGGCTTATTATTTTGTAAGAAATTGTTTTGGAGTTAAATTTTATTTATAATATTAACTTCCAGTGAATGTGTTATCAAACACACGTAATGACTCTATACGTGATAAAGTTTGAAACTATCGCTTTACCGTTTTATGGAGAAATCAACATTTAGATTAAGACCCTTTTTGAAAAATGTAAAGTTTAACACAATTATCCTTCCATTTATAATAATTAAAACGCGTTATAATTTACAAAGAAATGTGACACTTTCTTCCTAATTCATTACTATCCAGTATTATTAGGTAAATTAAATTTTTAATAATATTTAAGTCCCCGAATAAATAAAAGCAATAAATAGGTACAATTAAAAATTTATAAAC